TGGAGTCGTCTACCGGATCTGACGCAGTTGCGGGCAAAGCAACTACGTCGGAGAAACTGGGAGACTGCTCCGGACGCAAATCGATGGACACGCGGCAGCGGTGTGGAGAATTGACGCCAACTCGCAAGTCGCGGCCCATTCGACGAGACTCGATCACACATTCAAGTTCGATGAGGCCGAAATTCTCGCGAGGGGTGACAATCGCGCGAGCCGCGAGTTGCTTGAGTCATGGTTCACGGGACCCCAGTCTATTAACAAGTGCAATGACAGCCCTACTGCATATTCGGTGCTGAGGCATAGTCTGGCCAAAGTGATTGACCACTCGGGGAGCGCGCAGGCCGGTGAGCCAGATGGCCGGGCCATCATCACGGGTGATGAGATTTCAACAATTAACAACTTACATGCCGGCCATCAGACAATTAGCGTACCAACGGGCAACAATCCTCGATGAAGGGGAGGGAGGTTAATTATCATAGGTATGCAGTAGCACAGCGATTGAATCCTTTAAATACTACAACTTCCTGTGCAAAATCACCCTTATCTGTCACTGTTTCTGACGATGGGTTCGAGCGAGAATCCGGAACGTCAGGCGAATAAAGTTCTTGTTCCAACGATCGCTCCTACTTCTTATCAACTAGGTCCTGGAACTCGCATCTTCGCTTGTATCGACACAGTTTTACGCAGACGGGGATAGGAAATGAGCGAAAGACAACGGGCGGTCGAACGTGGGCTGGGAAACGGACGTAATGGCCTCTGTCATTCAGTAAAGCGGCATGCAGCCTTACTTCGGTGCCAAACACCAGAGTACTGTGGTGGTTGATAGTGGCAGGGCCAAGGGTGACGCCCTAGGTGGAGGGAGGGGGCTGGAATAAGCGATACATACTGAATTCCGTGTCATGCAAAGCAACATGAATGTAGGGGAGTTAGAGGAGGCCTTCGTTGATGGGCTGGGAACTTTGAGATCGATCATGGGATATGAAGACCTGTTGGTGTAGACGACCTCGTTCAGCCAAAAGGAACGACGTCCATCGGGCCATTCAGATTTCAGGAGGGAATCGGGGCAAGCGGTTACATGCCAACTAGCAATGCATAATCGACGACACAAACTTGACTTCTTGCCATCATTCTGTTACCCGCGAGACTCATGGTCTGAGCCCCAAGGCAGCATAGAATCATCCTCACTGGATTCCGAAATAAAGACACCAATGAATACCACCACTGAAGGGCAATGGGGAACGGACCCGTGGATCAAGTGGTAAAGGATCTGACTCATGCTTGATTAACAGCTGACTCGAATTCAGAACTTCAGGATAGGGGATTGAAGTGTGGCTTGCTGATGACGAGTAACGAGACAGAAACTGCAGCTTGAGTTTCTCCCGTCTTTATTGGCAACGGAGTTCGATGGTGCATTTTGTTTATGTAGGTTGAGTTCTCGGGCGGTGCTGTTTTATGTGCCTTGACCGTTGTGTGCAGTAGGATAAATGTAAACAAGAAAGAGGTGCTAGGATAGCAACTTCCTGTTCATTAGCCAAACATACCCGCCCCCAGGCTTGGATAACGTGGGATTCCAAGCGGATATTCTTATAGATGACACCAGCATTTCGACAGTCGTCGACACCGCCATTAACAATTGACTGCTCTTTGGGGGCCAAAAGGCGCAGCTAACTTGGTGCAATTCCCCTGGAAATCCCACCAGAGGGCATTTAATGTCTTTTTTAGCACTGAAGCACACACGCATAACGACGCGAAAGAGGCTCTGCACACTGTGGTTGACGTGCTTCTTGGCGAGCGGTGGCTTCAACGATGACGCTTTACTCACTTCTTGGGCGAAGCTTCACCTGCTGGCACAGGATAACGGAGTGAAAAATTAATTCACCATGAACGACACATAGTCGGAGTCAGTGGTAGCGTTTAAGAAGAACCTCTAAGGATAACTTATCCAACGCTGGTGAAAACCGTCGAAGGACACAGAAGTGATACAGTGAGTGACCTATCTCACGAAATGTTGGCTGAAATTCTGAAATGCGTTTCTGAATTAGGAAGGATTACTTAGGTGGAATTGTAATGCTGATCAGCATGCGGAGCAGTCCCGAAAACATTTCGGACTCGCCAGGATGTTTGCTTTTGAGTGATCTTCTTTTCAACCTCCAGCAAAAATCGCACTCGACAAAAAGCGACCGTTTTTGATGGTCTCGTAAATTCAAACATACTTTAAAGAAAACATGAACAAAAATATGCCTCCTCTTAGCCATTTGACAGCAAAGCATGACTTCTTCACACTTTCTACTCAAAGAAAGGATGCATGTAGGTTTTGAAGGAGGTTTCTAGTTGTCGGATAATTTTGAGCCAGATCAGCCGTCGCATTAGCGTTTAGAGATTTAATTCGACAAGGTGTAAACTTTTTGCGTAGACAAAATCATATATTTCTCCACGCCTTTAAGAAGTTCATAAGATTTTGTAATGGATGCGGACTATGTTGTATGCTTCGTGGGTAGCATTAACAAACGGACAGGTACGATGCTGTATGAATGGCCATTGCGCAATCTTTAAATATATCATAATCAGAAACTTTCTAAAAAAACAATACGATCTTTTTTTCGAGTAAAACATATGAAGAAGGCGTGATTTTCTGTCAAACGAGTAAACGAAAGCACATTTTCTAAGAGACATATTTGAATTTTTAAGACCACCGAAAATCAACGCGATTGATTTACAGTAGTCGAGGAGTCACTTTTTTTACCGAGTGCGGTATTTACAGGAGGCCGAAGAGAAGTGCATTCAAAAGCCAACATCCTGGCAAGTCAGAAAGATCGTGGAACTTTGCCGTGTGATAATTAGTATTGCAAACCCGCTTAAGTAATCCTTCCTAATCGAAAACGCATTTCAGAATTGCGGTTAACATTTCACGAGACAGGTCACTTACTGTACGCTAGTCTGTGGTCTCCTGTAAGCAGCATCATCATCTCAATTATGTGCTTTGATAGATCTAGTGAGACCGGTTCTAGAGTCATTCGTTATCGTCGCAAATTCCCAGATACGTCATTAGTTGACAGGAAATTTCCCCAATTAAAAAGGGCACACTCGATTGAACAGATGGCAGACTCAAAAAAAAAACAATAATGACATCGCGGATCTGCTCCGACCAGAAGGAAATTGTTGATTTTTGCAGGAGATCTATAAAAGGAAAACAAAAAATAAACGAAGAGAAACGAACAAACAGACAGTAAGTAACAGGTCACATATCGCCCGACTGCATGGAGAACAAGTGGCGTTTCCTAGGTGGAGTCTCAACCGGAGACTCCGGCAAAGGTGGATCAGACGTGAATTGGGTGAGACCGATGGCATCAAACTCAGGCGGTTCTGTTGGTGTAAGTTCATCGTCGTATGGAAGCCAGTTGCCGGGCGAGGGGAATGTGACACTCTTTCCTGCGTCGTATTGCTCACTGCCAGGCTGGAAATGTCCAGGACAGAGACAAAAGAACAAACATGAGTAGTCGACGGTCTTTATGGAAAGCGGATGGTTGACGATGATGATGATGATTATAACGAGGAGGTGGGGAAGGTGAGCAGGAGGAGGGGGGAGGGAGAAGAAGAGGAGGAGGAGGGGGGGGAAGAGGCGGAGGAGGGTAACGAAGCAAGTTAACTACTGTGGTGTCGAAAATGACGTTTGTAGGAACCCCAAAAGTACCACATGGAATATTTCTTACCATTCGTTGAGGCGTAGATAGGAGGAAAACTGGTCGTTTACCGCAAATGTGGGTCTATTGGTCTGGCATTTCAAACCCACGCAGAGGAGAACAAATGAACATAATGTGCGGTTCAGAAGACGAAGATGCGATCACTGGCACAGGAAATTTATTGGCCTGACGTTTCGGATCCTCACTAGAATCCATCATCAGAGACAATCGTAGATAAAGGTGACAGTGGGCCAGTTTGCCGAGCAGTCGTCACACCAGCATCCAGCACGGATGACGAAATGACGGTAATTAACGACTCGGACTCGGACTGATAAGCCACCACCGCATCAATTACGAACCCAGCGGTGATTGTGAGAGCTGTTAATTACAGTGTCGAATATGGTCCCAAAGCAGCCACGTGCTATAAATACTGCACTCCTGGTGCCACCATCACCTTTATCTGCGAATGTGCCTGATGATGGATTCGAGTGAGAATCCGAAACGTCAGGCCAATAAATTTCTTGTTCCAATGACCGCATCTTCGTCTTCTGAACTGCTACCTGGAACTCGCCTGTTCGCTTCTATCAATAATGTGCGGTCTTGTTCTATCAGTCAGTAAATTGTTTGTCGTCCGAAGGAAGGTTTGCAGACTGCGCCAACCCAGAAGATGGGAAATGCCAGATAGTCTGCAGAGCACTCGGCGCCAACATCTGGTGGATAGCGGTACGGTCCTCGGCTCGAAGCGACTGCGAAATGAACAGGCTTCTAAGTCTGATGATGCGGCAGTCAGTGATGATGCAGCTGAAGTACCTCAGACCTGAGTGGACATTAATGTGACAAATCGGTTCTAATGATATTATGGCGAATGTTAGTTTCAGTTAGGAAAGGCCTCACCTGCTGTCCTACAGAAAACTCCTGGAGTTTGAGACCGGGGTGCCGGGAGGAGGGAAGGGGGTGGGGAGATGTCTGCTGCGATTCCAGGGAGCACAAATACACACTAGAGCGGTCCTAGGCAGTTGATGTCAGGCCACATACAACTTGGTCCGTTTTGGGCTACCTGGAGACTATGGTCCGTGCGTGTGGTTGGACCCGTGCAGATTGCACTACCTTCTTCCATCTCAAAACCAGGGCCAGCCTATTCGCATCTTGTTCATATATATGCACTTCCAGTCGCGTGTATCCGCAACTTACTTCCATGAACTTCTCTTCGCCGAGGACTGTGCCCCCAACGCCACTTCCGAAGGCGACATACAAAGGAGCATGGACCTCCTCGCCGCCACCGTCGCCTGAGACAACTTCGGCCTAGCCACCAACACGGTGATAATGCATCAACCGCCACCCGACGAGGTCTACATTGCATCACAAATCAACGTGAACAGCGCCCAACTACAAGCAGTTGACAACTCCACCCACCTGGGCAGTACCCTCTCGCAACACCAAAATCGACGATTAGGTGGCCCGCCGGATTTCCAAGGCCACCTCAACTGTCTCCGACGGATATTGAAGCTGAGGTAGCAGGACCGGATCCCGAACACGGACGTAGTGGAATGGACGGGAATCCTCAGCATCTACTTCATGCTGAGACAACTGCAACTGAGTTGGAGCGCCTGCCTCGTGCGCATGGACGAAGAGCGGATACCCAAATGACTCCTCTGAGGAGATGTCGCCACGGGTTTCCGCCGACGAGGAAATCAAGTTCGGCTCTACAAGGATACCCTGAAGACCTCCCTAAAGCGTCTGCAAATCAACCCGGCCAACTGGGAAGATCTCGCCCGGGCCCAACCGACCTGGCGGAGAGCAGTGAAGACCGGCGCGGCAATCTTCGAAGCCACCCGCATTACTGCCGCCAAAGCCAAACGCGAGGCTCGTAAATTTCAATTGCCGCCGCCTCGCAACGCCAACGCTCAACCACCGCCGACATGCCCACGATATCGACGGACGTTCCGGGCACAAATCGGTCTCATTGGACATCTTCGTACCAACTGCAGCACCCAGGCGACACAACCCGATGTTCCCCCGGTCCGCCTCTGCTTCGTCTCCAGGCCGGCAATCAAAACTGACCATACTCCTGAACCCCCACAGTCATCCTCTTCCACCGCCTCAATATTCACTGCGACGACTCCTGCACCCACCGCCACTGCACTCAATCCAAACAAGCCGACAAACAGCAACCTCACCACCGCCAAAACTAGAGATGTGGACTCGGTCCACACCTGTCCTCATTGCGATCGCATCTTCACCCCACACATCGGCCTGGTCGGTCGTTTGCGAATCCATCGCACAGAGACTGGCGAGCCAGAGCCTAGATCAACATGCATCCGACGCAACCGTCTCAACTGCTATCACTGCGTCCGCATATTCACTCACCGCCTGTGCGTGTCCACGAGAGCGGAACTCACTGCAGCCTCGGAACACCTAGCACATACTGCACACCCACATGCCTAGCCCAACCTAGATCCTGTCGCCCATCGGGCCACCATCAACAGCCCCACCACTGCTACCATCTCCAAAACCGACACTGACACCACCGACTTTCCCTTCCCACACTGTCCCCATACATTCACTTCACACATCGGTCTGGTCGGCCACTTGCGAATCCATCGCACAGAGACTGGCGAACCAGTGCCTGGACCACCAAAATAACCCGACGCTACCGCCTCAACTGCCTAACTGCACCCACACACCCGATGGGCCTATTAACTCACATGCGCATTCACAAAAACCTGCGGTAGACAACCGCCGGTTACGTCACGCCATCACCTCTTTCTGCACCTACATCACACAACATCATCATCCACCAGAAGTATCCAACTGTCACCTCCCACGCAAATGCGAAGTGCGAGCCTCGGCTCCCTCTCCACGCGACCCCTCTGCTACATGAGTGATTCGAGTCTGAGACTATCACGGTGCGTCAAGTGCTGTGCCTTGGAGGGCTGTTGACTGACGCCCCAACTCAACCCACACAGTCTGCCCAGTTGTGTGCGTGTGTGTCGAGTGGCGGACTGAGAGCCAGGCTGGAGCGGCTCTTTCTCAACGTGACTTACGACACTCCCACGCATGTGGGATGTACACCGCCCAAACCCCGTTGAGTGGAATCCTGGTGCTTGTGTTTGGAAGGTCAGGTCGTGCATGTGACGCACACAGACAAGATCACTAGGTATGTCAGCCACCGCGCCCATTCCCCACACCTGTCAACTGACTCGCTCGGACAGTGACTGGGGCCTGGGAATGGAGAGCGAGAGTGAGGTCGGCGACTCAGCGCACTTTCCTCACTACAAACAATCTGACGCGCTTGAAACTATCATGGTGCGCTAAAAGCCGTGACTTGGAATGTTGCCATCCGACGGGATAACTTGGACCTCGCGGTCGGCCTAGCGTTGTGCGTTTGGGTGGATCGGCGACAGGTGGTCAAAGTGTCAGCCTGCAATAGCTCCTTAATGTGACCTTTATGGCACTCCCACTCCGTAGGATCCGAGCCAGGTGCGACGGCACGCCTGGGACGGCTTCGGCCGCGCCAACCGTTTTTTCTGTCGGTTGAATTCCTGGTCCTTTGCTGTGTGGGCCGGGGGGTGTGGAGTGGAGCGTCAAGGTGCGGGCTCGACCGTGCCATCCACCAGTGCCCTCCCTCGTCTCCGGTCTTTTTGGCTATGTCTTGACACGGGGTCCAGGTGGTGGAGGAGAGAGTGCGGTAGACGCTGCGCAAGTCTACATTCATTATAAACTAAATCACTCGCAAGTCACCGTGCCTGCTCCACCTTGTTGTGGAACAAATGGTGGACATCGTCGGATGCGGCGGTCGAACTGCTATATATATTTTTTTTTCTAAAGGTAGTTGGTCCTTTGGGAAAAGTAAACAGTATAGTAGTAAATTTTCGACGTCGGTTCCCCGCGTCGTCGTCAGACTGGGGTTAATGTACAAAAGAGTCAAGATTTCAAGCGTGCCCAAAAATCAATACCGCTTCAGCAACTGTGCCAGTAAGCGTCCGCGCACACGTATCAATTATCGTCTCCTCCACTTTTCTTTGAGAGTTTTGTACATTGCGTCTAACTCAAAATGCCGATTAATGCATGACTCATCTGAGTGCATAGCTTCAAGAAATTCTCGGCCGTTTTTGGTAGAGCAGACGCCGACGATGCGAGTCTTGTCCCTTGCAAAAGCATGTTCACTTGAAATAGGTGGTCTCACCTCATAACAGCTAACTGATGTTCGTGGATGCGTGTGGAGGCGAGCTTTCCAGTTTGGCCACAATACACGGCATCGCATGCTTTACATGGGATCTTGTAGACGACTTCCTTCTGAAGATACCCAAACCTAAGGTGGTCGCTGGTCTGTGCGCCACTTGTAATTGGTGTTTCCCCAGGTGCCTCTGAACGAGGTCAGACGAATGTTTGATGTAAGGGGGAGGGGGTTCTCCAAGTATTTGCTTCGGGCGTCTGCTTGGAACCACCTAGTTCCTTCTAATACAATCTCCAAAGAGGTATTGATTTTTTGGGCGCGTTTGAAGTTTTGTAGTTTTTCATACATTTACTCAAGTCTGACGACGACACGGGGGACCGTCGTCGAAAATTTACTGATGAAGTCCTTACTTTTCCCAAAGAGCCTACTATTGACAATTAGCCCAGACAGGAAGCCCCGCTCTGGGCGGTCGAGCGAGGAGAAACCAAAGTTCTGGCTCTCGATCCCCTATGTGAATAACATACCAGATGCGACGTCAAGAATCCTGAACCCTTTTGGGGTTGGCGTGGTTCATAAACCAGCATCAACAGTCAGACAGCAGATCACGAGACCCAAAGACCCGCTGTCAGTGACAGAACAATCAGCGGCCGTCTACAGCATACCATGCCAAGATTGTGATGCCAGGTATGTTGGTGAAACAGGCAAACGCCTCGGCACAAGATTGCACGTGCGCCAGCTTGCGACCAACCGCAAGAATAAGCTGTCGCTAGTCTATGGCCACAAGCTACAGCGGAACCACAGTTTCGCCTTTGAGAAAGCGAGGGTGATCGGTCGAGCCAATGATAAAATGGCCAGACTGACGCTGGAAAGTTGGTCCACGACTGGCACACTTAACAGAGCCATAGATCTGCATCCCGTCTACCAGGCGTTGCGCACAAAACTCGAGTCAGTCCAGATGTGGCCAATGATAGAGGAGCGCCCACCGATCGCGTCGTGGAACTCACTCGTCCCCTTGTGACTATGAGTTCTCTCTCTCTAACCACATAAGCAAACGCACAGCGACTCGTAGTATGGGCTGAAAAGCATTACCGAAAAAGACAAGGGAGACTGAAATGGCTATTTCTGTATAGAGGAGATGGTCGGAGATCAAACATCGGTCCCAGGCAACGTCTTCCCGGGCCACGGTTAATTATCAGGACACGTTTTTTGTTAATGCAAGGACCCACTCACCAGCTGGAAGTAGTCCGACGAAGTGCAATTCCCACCCTGCAGCTCACTGGCCTTCCTCCAAGCGGAGTTTGGCAGTTTGACCACAGCGACAGCCGCGGCGTCAGTCTGTCCTTCTGACTCGTCCGAATGGTCTTTACTGTTGAGAAGAGGGTGAGTAACTGAGCTGGAGACGACAAGAACAGGTGGAACTGCGGCGATGGGAGCCACTGGTGCAGTTCGTCTCGGGAGGTTTGAAGGCACGGGGCGAGGACGGACGGCAGCAGCCGAGGCGACAGGGAGAGAAGCGCCAACAGCCGCAGGCGTCTGACATCTTGTTTTGAATCCCCCTCCGCCTCGTCCTCCTCCTCCTCCTGAAGGCCGGTTGGTTGCGGTGGGAGGCACATTTGAGACACTTGAGGCGCCAACGGGACCGATACACTGGAGCGAAGGAAGAAAAAGAGAGAATTCTTGAGACGAATCAGGTGCATTTTCCCGAACAAGGATTTCCGTTGAATAACGCTTCAGATTCTCAAGGCGTGTTGGGAAGCAGTAAAACAGAAGACACGGTTACCGAACTGCAATAACTTCGACGGCTGTTCAGAGCCAACGGCCACTCGGGCGACTTTGTCAACCGATGCATATGCAAACGAGATGAGACCAGGCCGCATCGATGTCTAATTTTGGCAGTCGCCCCCGTACTCCAAGGACAACCGGGAGGCCGCCAGCCGCCTTCTCACACGACTTGGAGCTGGAGTTGCAGAGAGGCTGGCGGCAACTATCCGGTGCCAAGGGACGGGCTCGAGAGACCCACTGCCCCGAAGGGAAAGGCTTGGAGGTGTTTATCGGAGCTGGCGCAGTTACGGGCGGAGCAACTACGTCAGGGCAAATGAGACGCGGATGGCCGGGCACACAACACCAGTGACGAATAACGCCGGCTCTGAGGTCACAGGTCTTTCGACGATGAGGCCGGAATCCTCATGGAGGTGATAACCGTGTGAACAGCAAGCTGCCAGAGCCACGAGGAGATTAACAAGCGCAATGTCCCCCCGGATTTTCAGAGCTGAAATTTTGCCTGGGCAGAGAGAGTGACTACTCGGGTGGAGGGATGGGGGAGCGAGCGCCGCTTCCATATCGGTAAGCCAAATTGTCGAGTCATTATCGCGCAATTAGCCAACACTAGCAAGTAAATTGCGGCAATTTACGACTCGGGCGCGGACGAGCAAGCAAGGAACGCACCGATTATGACCGCCGGCGGTAATGAGGGCGCTGGTGATTATGATAGATATGCTAACTCCTGAAATGTTAACCGAAATTCTGAAAAGCGTTTTCATTTCAAAAGATTACATAAGTAGGGTTGTAATACTACGGGAAACCATGTATAAAAATATTCATTTTTTACTCGTTCGGTAGGAAATTACGTCTTCTTCAAAGTTTGTTCTTGAAGGAAGGGTATAGTTCAGCGTTAAAAACTCTTCCAATTCCTGAATAATTTTGAATTCGATCTGCCGTTACACATGCACTCAGGGTTTCCAAACTACAGGCTGTACAATTTCAGTGTACGGAAAATCATACATTTCTATTCGGTATTAAAGGGAGACCATATAGGGTTCATAAAATTTTGTCAATGGATTCGAGCCATATTGCAAATTTTACAAGCAAAATTAGTAACCGCAGAGACAAGATGTTTTACGAACGGGCATTTCACGGCCTTAAAAATCTCATAATTACAAACTTTTTTAAAATCGAATTACACACCCCGTCAAGGATCGAATTTGTAGAAGACGTAATTCTCTACCAAATGAGGAAAATAATAAATATTTTTATGCATGTTTTCTACTAAATTTATTAGGGTTTATAATGGCGTCGAAAATCAATGAGAAAAATTCATGCCACATAAGCAGTCGTTTTTACGGAGTTTTCAGGCGATCGGAAAGAAATTCGTTCAAAAGCCGCATCCTGAAGTAGCTGAATTATTACGGGATTATGCCGCACGATGATCAGTATTACAACCCTACTTAATTAATCTTTTTGGGTAGAAAACACTTTCCAGAATTTCGGTTAACATTTCATGAGTTAGCAGATCTACTGTATGTTAGGTATGTGACAACGGAATTCTAAAAATCCTAAACCCCTTATGCGACCATCACCTCCGATGATCGGTTCGAGTGGGAATCCGACACATCAGGTAGATAAGCGTCTTCTTCTGCTCAGATGTACCCTGAAACTCCCCCTTCCAAGTCAACGCATTAATTTTTGGGAGATTTCGAAATTTGAGTATCTACCAAGAAGCACACAAGAAAGGCTGCTGATATGATCCCCTCGCAGCTGAGTCATGCAGTGGAAGAATATCGATGAAACACGTGTCAGAGCTTTTAGCCGGCGTCTTCACTGTCAGTATGATAAATTATGCAGTATGTAAAAACTACTGGCTGACTGTTGGCCGTCTACGAATAATATGTGGTTGTCACACTAAAGTTGATAAATTTCGGCCCGAATACTCCTACAAACTTTCGGACTTAGCCTATTAAGTCTCATGCCGAATGACTTACTCCAAGTTGACGCATTAGGTACTAAGCAGATTCAGAAGCAGAAAAAATGGGTATGTCTGTTCTATTATCCCGAATCAAGGAGCATACAGAGCCAGATGCTCCACGTTGGCAGGGATATTGAGAAAAATACGGCAAAATATTTGCAAGAAAAGGCTGATAACTCCCCAAGGGACGAAATTTGGTCAGATGCCGTGATATGTTAAACACAAGGAGGACACTGACAGGAAATAGTTGGCAACAACGGATGGATCCGCAAGTCAACGTTTTAATTATCATAACACGCCTACTAATTACATTTCGGTAGATGCGTTATATTTGAGTTACGTTTCCGGCCAGACTAAAATTTACATCGGTGCACCAGAGAGCACTGAATTAGCAACCGGAGGAGGCACTTGCCAGCCATCATACATAGCACTAAACACATCGTCGGCCCAGTGTAAAAGCCTACAGTGTAGGGGAGGGGGGGCAGCAAGGGTGACCTTAGGTGGAGCTGTGCGTGGAGTGCCGAAAGTCGGTCGAAGCAGAGTCGGACGCGGTGTGATGGGCGCCGGCCACCGGGGAGGTTCTGTTGAAACTAAATTGGTCGCAGTGCTCCTGGGAGTCATCGGTCTGGCTCCAGGGAGTGATCTCTTGAGAGCAACGACGGTGGTGGTGGAAGATGGCGGACGCGCAGTCAGTAGGTCAATCTGGGTCTGCAGTTGGGCCACCCTGGCATTGGCCTGATTCTGTACCTCGGTTATCTGTCGGGGGGAGATACGACGGAGAAACAGGACTAGAACTGGGAGGGGATCAGAAATACAGGCCACAGAGATATGCGTCAGACGGCCGTACATTTGCCTCTTGAGCCAAAGTGTGCGTGGCGTGGAAGCTTCTAGTGTGGCAATAAATGCTACTTAGAAGGTCTATGCAGTGCCCAAGGCGGGGGAGTCACGTTCAAGAGTTGTCAACGGTTTCAAATGCCCAGCCGTAGCAATCAGGCATCAAACTATGACCCCGTTTGTCGCCAGTGGCTCCACGAGGCGTTACTGAGCTCAGAGCCCACCTCGTTTACCGATTTGATAGTTGGAGAAAATCCGTTGTGAACAGTCGCGCCTGTATCAACACTGCTGGCCAATTTGTAGATGAAGGCTGAGAGAGAGAGAGAGATGTGGTGCCTTATTGCATGTCGGAATGGCGACCCCTACAATGAGTCATGCAGGAGATGGGCGGGATCAGCACCGGGCTTAGATTAGGGCACGGCACGCGTTAAGCAGGCTGCACAGAGTCCACACATCCCAAGATAAATACGACACGCCTAGACGCAGGCCTTCACACCGCGCCAGTCGTCTGCGCCCAGTTCCTAATTCAGATGACTGACCGGTTCGGACAGTGGAACAGTGTGTGGGAGAGGAAAGAGAGGGAGAGAGGGGAGGATCGACTCTGAGGACTGCGTCTCCACGGCACTTCATCACACTCCTCGCTACAAAACAGTCGGAAGTGCTTCGAGATTATGAAGACGCGCTAAAAGTCGTGTCTTGGAAGGATGCCAACTAACAGGGTAACTAAGTCCCCACCAGGGTGGAGGGTTAGGCTGCAATGGTTCGTTCTGAATGTGGCCTCTATGGCTCTCCCACTCAGATGGGGTCCCAGTCACCCGCATGTTTCTTGTAAAAGCCTGTTACACCAAGGGGATCAGTTCGTGTGTGGCCCGAGTAGATGGGCTGTTTAGCATTGCCAGCCACTGAGTCCGATCCCGCCTCAGTTTTGCCCCCGGACCCATATGGGTGAGAGCGGAGGGAGTGCGGCAGGTACTGTGCAAGCCCGCAGTCACCGTCCTGGGTTCACCATGATTGGGGCATACGATGGACATCGTCTTTCGCGACGTCCACAATGAAATCTAAGTAGGGGCTCTGTTCCAGGTCAGCCACTGTACCTAAGCCAATATCAAGCCGTCTTGACACAGATTTACATTAAAACGCGATATACAGTAGATGTGCTAACTCACGAAATGTCAACCGAAATTTCGAAAAGATAAATTAAGTAGCGTTGTAAAACTAATCATGATGCAGCATAAATCTATAATCATTCAGTTTCCTCAGCATGCCGGCATTTGAATGAATTTATGTCCGACTGCATGCAAAAAAGACACTCTGAGTAAAATGACTACTTATGCAGCATGCAATTTTCTCATTGATTTTCGATGCCCTTGAAAATTCAATTATATTTCATGGAAACATGCATAAAAATATTCATTCTCTTACTTATTCGATAGAAAATCATGTCTTCTTCCAATGTCATACTCAAAAGAAGAGTATAATTTGGTTTTAAAAAAGTTTCTAATTGTAAGATTTTTTAATACCGTTAAATGGCCGTTCATGAAACGTTATGTATCTGCATTTACGAATGTGGCTTGTAAAGTTAACAATATTGCTCAAATCCACTGCTTAATTTTATTAACCTCATATGGTCTTCTCTTAACACCGTAGAGAATTGCATGGTTTTCCGTACGCGGAAAATATATAACTAGTAGTTTTAAAACCCTGAATGCAAGTGAAACAGCAGGTCGGGTTCAAAATTACTCGGGAATTAGAAAAGTTTTTATAAAACCGAATTATACTCTTCTTTTGAGTATGAAATTGGAAGAAGACGTGATTTTCTACCGAATAAGTAAAAGAATGAATATTTTTATGCATGTTTTCCATGAAATATAATGAAATTTTTAAGGGCATTGAAAATCCATGAGAAAATTGCATACTACTTAAGTAGTCATTTTTGCAGAGTATAGATCTTGCATGCAGCCGAAAATAAGTTCTTTCGAAAGCCGATACCCTGAGGTAACTGGATCATTAAAGATTTATGTTGCATCATGATTGGTTTTACAACACTACTTAATTTATCTTTTCGAAACGAGAACGCATTTCGAAATTTTGGTTGACATTTAATGAGTTAGCACATCTACTGTATGTTGGATCAGGGAGTGAGGCTGACGCTTCGCAAGTCCATCCGAGTACATTCCATTTCAAACACACGTCATGAAAACTCCCTCAGGACAGCGGCGGCCATAAAGATGAATGAACTATAACAAAAAAGCACAACAAATGCAGTTAGCTTTGCTCAAAAGACAGATCTTAGATCGTTGACCGATCTTAAAATTTACTTAGATATAAATTTTCTTGGTCTAGTTTGGGTAACAAGCCGCCACAGGCGTCTCGAAACACTACTACGCAGCCAGTTTCCTGTGCATAGAAAACTTGATAGTTAAGTGGCCAGACATTAGTAAGGAATCGCGGTCGGCTTTACAGAGTGTGGTCAGTAGGAGGTCGTCTTGCCAAATGAGAGATTGCAGATTGTGGTAATAGTTCCAATTCCTGAAAGTAGGAATTGAACAAAAAAGATTTAACAGTTCTATATTCCTCCGCTAGTCAGCTATTTTGGCGCGTAGAAAGACTAGTTGACGCAAGGTGAAATCACGCAAAAACACACCTGACGATATATTTCTTGCTGGAAGTCACTGTTTATCGTAGAGTCGCGGTCCTTCGACTCGAGATGGCAGGCCATCGACTTGGCTTGTTCGATGAGCAGCTAATGGCAGTGGTGGGGGGAAGGGGGAGATAGTAAATGGAAGAGAGAAGCAGGGCGGGTCAGATGTCAACTTTCTGGCCCCAAAATGGCCCAACAGCAAACAGGAGGCAAAAGACACGCTGAATGAGTTACCTCGGCTCTTTCTTCATGCCACTTCGCCCGTTCGGCATCGAAAGCCTTCATCTGCTGCTCTCGTTCCTCATACAAGCGCTTCTTTTGTTCTTCAACTGATTTGGGAAAAGATAAAAAAAAACTGTTTTTATGGTGGTTGTGGGCCGTCACCTACAGTCCCTTTTACTCCAAACGCTGTTGGTGCGAAACCTGCTAGAAAAAATTGTAATATCTACACGCCCCCCCTCCCCCCCCAGACGACAGAGAGCAGCAAGGGCAGGTCCCGTATACGCAAAGAAGCTGGTCAAGATAAGAAGCAGAAAAAGGAAAAATAAAGTAGAACCTTGCCGAACGACCCACAAAACCCACCACACTGACCACCGAAAAGAAAACGTTCTTTCTTAAAGTCCCTTTCCAAGGAGACGCTGCAAGTGATCTCCTAAGAAGGCGCCTTGACCAAGCTGTCTCGGAAACCTTTCCAACAGCAAGAGTTCGCATATCACTCTCTATTAACCCTATTTTATGCAGAGAAGGCAAGGATAGGCTGCCACCTCAGACCGCCTCAATGTGCATTAACTCATTCACTTGCTCCTGTGGAGCAGGTTATATTGGTCGTACGAGTCAGCGCCTTTCCAAAAGAATACGAGAGCACCTTCCCGCATGGCTGGCAAAAGGCGAAACTAGGAGAATAGACAGCGCCATCCTTGCGCATGCAGTGGATTCAGGGCATCGTGTGGACCCCGCTGAAGCATTCGTGGGATTTATAAGGTTCCCTCGAGCTACCCTAAGCTACTGGGCCAGAACATGTTAGCAACAGCAGAAGAAGCCGTCATCAGGTTACGAAAACCGACCCTATGCGGCCAGAAGAACCTCGGTCAGGCTCCGTGCTAACCACATACAACTTTCTGGATCCTTCCGCTCTTGCCCAGCCTGGAATATAAAAACTAACTTTTATCAACTCTTTTCACTCCCTGTACCCCGTCCCATATAAGTGTACTGGCCTGACGAGAATTTATTGAAAGTAACGTTCGCTCACTACCTTTTCTTCTGAAAAATAAAGCACTCGGAAAAGGAACATGAGGTTATAAGGGAAGAAGAGAAAAGGAAATGCATACAAACAGTTAGACAGAAAAAAAACGACTAGTTCAACTACAGGCTTCTAGTACACACTGTGAAGGTCCGACTCCGAAACCGCCGGTGGAGGTTGGGAGAGGGAGGTGGTGTAGGAGTGAACAGACTTACGTGCTGCCTTTGTTTCCTCTCGAAGGAGAACCATCTCCCGCTCGAAGTCAGCCTTCGCCTTTTGGAAATCTGCACGAACTTCAGCAAGCTCGGCCGTCAGCGCAATAAGACGCTGTCGAAGTTGCACATTTTCGGCTGAAATCCATTTCAAAGGGGGTTGGTGACTTAAAAAGGTCTAGGTGGTGGTGGTGGTGGAAGAGGAGGGTAGTGGGAGGTGAAAAAAATTTAAATAGCTACACAACCCCCGCACAACACAGTGCCCCCTAGTGGACACATGCGAGCTACACGCCCATCCCAATTTACAACTGCATGCAAAGGTTTCTATTGGCTAATACTTAAAGGCTAGTTATTTGAATCGAAAACGCATTTTAGGCCTCCCAGAACTACTATTCACACATCAGCCAGGCCTCTATACCCCTCTTATTTAGGTCCAGCCCACAGATGTAGCTCTCTGAGCCTTCACTGGCGGTAGCATGGTAGCCTTCGCAAAACTGAAGGAGGTGTATTCGAGATGTGGGGCTCAATAATGGAACAGTGATTAATCGTTTGGTCGCACCAAGTTTTGCGTTAGGTCAACCATCACTCAGACAGACATCCGGTCGGCTTGACGCATGTGAGTAATTCCCACGACACATGAACACATTTCTTACTATCACAGACCTGATGCGCTTATAAAATATTACGTGGAATAGAAGACTGTCAGCTGACTGGATAGCCCGACCCTCGTAGACAGTACTGTGTGCGTATGTGGGGTGACCGACTCGAGCAATGGAAGGCAGACTCAACGGCTTATTCTTGATATGGCCCCCTCTCGCAAACGTTAGATCGGAGAGGCGCTCCTTTTTTAAGAACCCAGTATATGTTGCATAGGGCGGAATCGTGTGTGGCACACGCAGACGGACTGTGTGGCTTTGTCAGCCGATGTGCACAAGTCCACATCCCGTCGTTTTAACACCGCCTTGTTATCGCAGTCTGGAGGATGAGAGAGATGACGGCGCGATAGATGCTTTGCAAGACTGCTGTCACTATGAGCTAACTCCTGCGGAAGCCACCGGCGCTGCACCTACTCGGCGGGCCACGCGGTGGGAGTTGACGTTCCCGGCGGTCGAACTTCATCTCTCTCTCTCTCTCTCTCAACCAGATGCGTCCGTGAGCCTCACTTTTCATTAACTTTGTGTGGAGGAACACAAAGGAGTGAAATTGCCCCAAGTAGATGAAAACGGTCTCAGCTATGTCGGTATACCAGCGACATTTCGATCATCGCGTGAGGCACGCGTAGACAGGCTGTCTCGTCTTGTCAGCCACATCTCCCTCCGGTCGTCTCGACCCTGTGTTGCCATCGGCGCACAAACCCACCTCAGGTCGTCTTAACACCGCCTTGCTATCGCGGTCTGGAGGATGAGGGAAGGCGGGGTGCAGTAGATGCTTCGAAAGTCTGCCTCACTGTGAACTAATTCATGTGCAAGTAACCGGTGCTGCACCCATTCCGTGAAGCATACAGTGGAAGTTGACGCTCCCGACGGTCGAGCTCTCTCTCTCTCTCTCTCTCTCTCTCTCTCTATCTCTCTCCCTCCGTCCCTCAATCAGGTGCGACTGCGAGCCTGACTTTTCATTAACTTTGTGTGAAGGAGCATAGAGGAAAAAAGAAACTGACAGAGACGTTAGCAGACACATCTGACAGAAAGGTGACTTAAAGTTCGGACTACCTTGGGTTTCCGTGACGACAGAATAGTCCGTCTTGTGGGTTTCGAGGACACCGGAGATCCTTTCCAGACCTTGAAAAGTGAACAAGTATAAAAACTGGTGTCAAATACGGCTACAAAGAAAGGTATCCACTTGAAAAGGCAAATTCTTGGCCCGAATCAGGATAGGAAGCACAAGTGCCAGCAGAATAATCATTATTGTAATCCGTTTGTGGGAAGGGAGTTTCCACCAACCAGGTTACGGAATGCGCTTGTCCCGTTGCGCCTTCAGAGACAATCGCACACAGACAAGGAATTACGGCAAGGACGAAGGATGATCCGTGGATCAATGATCGAGAGTTGAACTTAACGCTCGGTGATCAACGGGTTTGGGTTACAATCCCAGGTTATGCAAACCTGGGCTGGCTGACGACGTCTGAAGAGTCGAAAGGGGCCATCTCAGTCTGCTTTGTCCTTAGCGGCTCTCATCCTACGCCGTTTTTCTTGTACGCATCCCAGGGCATCCTGAACAGTTTCCACTGAGTTGCTCTAGCAATTGAGTCATTCGAAAACCGCAAACATTGGGCGTTTCTTGGCAATGTATGGGTCCTTTACTCGGCGCAACTTTCATTTGTTTAAGGAGACAAATGAGGAAGAAATTGACAACGGAAGGCAGAACTTGAGAGATGGAGCGACCGATCGCCCGGAAAGTTGCATTTTCAACTGCCAAAAGTCTAGCAAGTTGAAAAAAAGACCAGGTATATATGTTAGAAGTTTGTTTTGCGACAACGGTTTTCCGCGGCAGGACAGGGCCCAATCTCTCATGCTTTTTAGCGCAGAGGAAATGCGGCCGTGCAAGTCGACCCCCCAGGTCCCCACCAGCGTTCTTGGCTCCTCTAAAAGCTCATTTTACGGTTTGTCTGAAATAGGTGAGGGAAGGCCCGAACTTCGACGTCTTGAGATATAAATGTACAGGTAGAGTTGTACATCTTGCCCCACTTTGATGAATACTGTTCTGCAAACTCAAAGTCCCTAAACGGAGGAAATTGGCAAGCAGAAATGAGTTTGCACTCCTTGAAGAACTTCCAAGGTCAGAAATGTGATTCTTTGTGACCTCATTACTCAAGAGAACCCCGGCTAACGTGCCTTGCTATAACACGCCAATGCTGATCATCTGCTGATCGGCGCGCTAGGACTAGCATGGTGACACCAAATTGTCTGAGGGAGGCATGTGGTAGCGCATTCCTAGGGGATTGTGAGCACCACTGCACGCATCCGTCGCCGCCGCCTTTCTGGTCTTCGGTTCGTGCAGACTCTGATGTCGCTCAAAGCTTGGTCGTGCACAGGCAGAAACCGGGATTTTTCCGAGTTTCGCAACAGAGGGAGGACGATAAGGGGAGGGAGTAGAAAAGACAGACTATCGACTTACCATTCAGGAGATCTGCGTACTCTGGACGTGGCTGCCATTCCTTCCGGGTTTCATGTTCTGCCTCTTGTCTATGCTTGAGCACCTCCAGTTGCAAATCCTCCACAAACTAGAGGCCGATGCAAGTGAACGAGTGAGATGGGATGACATTAGAGGGAAAAGCAACGTGCAAAGTATTTTAGGCTTCAGCATCGATCCATCAAAAAAGGGGGCTACTAGGCGCATCGTGTTCGCTGACCTGCAAGCAGACGTGCTTCAAATGAAAGCCGACAGCCCAGAGCAAAAGCGGCGTTTGAGATACTGCTAATCAAAGGTTTGGAACCCTAATGCAAGTATTAGTACAACTGATGAGGGACCAGGATATGAACAGAGCAAAACTATGCGTACGCGTATCCTTACGGCAACTCGGTGCTTTCCCCACAATAATAAATCTGACGCGTTCGAACTCATCACAAAGCGTTAGCAGATGTGGCTTGGAAGGCTGGCAACTGAGGGGATAATTCCGTCCATTTCGGAACCAACCGCGAGTCTGTAATGACTCCGACTTGATACGGCCTTTATGACATTCTTATTGATGTGGGGTCCGAATGGCGCGTGTGTGGCACGTGTAGACGGGATGCTTAACTTTGTCAGTCACCGCGCCCACCTCCAGCCGGTCTCAGATTGTCTCGCAACCGGGGCAAAGTGGGTGAGGGAAGAGCGTGGTTGACACTGTGAAAGTCACGCGTAACTCACCGATGTCGTGCCAACTGTGTTAGGCACTCGGTGGATGACGCATTTTACGAAAGAGGACAAATGTGATGGTAACAATTCGCCTTTTTTTAAATGTGGGATCAGTACATACAGTAGGTGGGCTAACTGGTGAAACGTCAACCGAAATTCCGAAATGCGTTTTCGTTTTGAAAAGATTAATTAAGTAGGGTTATAAGATCAATCCTTGTGCAGCATAATTCTATCCTAATTCAGCTACCTCAGGATGCCGGCTTTCAAACAAACTTCTTCTCAGCTGCATGCAGGAACTACATTCTGCAAAAATGACTAATTAATTAGCATGAATTTTTCTCATTGTTTTTCGATACCCTTTCATGGAAAACGTGCATAAAGATATTCATTCTTCTACTCACTCGGTAGGAAATTACACCCTCTTTCAATTTTATACTCGAAGAAAGGGCTTAATTAGGTTTTTAAATACTTTTCCAATTCCCGAATAATTTTGAACCCGCTCTGCCGTCATACTTGCATCCAGGGTTTCCAATCTACAAGCCGTATATTTTCCGTGTATGGTAAACTGTAAATTTCTCTACGGCATTCGGAGGAGATCATATGGGGTTCATAAAATTTAGCAGTGGATTTGAACCTTATTGCTAACTTTGCAAGCTACACTAGGAAATGCAGAGGCACGACGTTTTATGAGCGGCCATTTCACGGTATAAAAGAATCTCAAAATTAGAAACTTTTTTAAAACCAAATTATACCCTTCCTTCGAGTATAAAATTGAGAGAAGACATAATTTCCTATCGAATGAGTAGAAGAATGAATATTTTTATACATGTTTCCCATGAACTATAATTGACTTTTTAAGGGCATCGAAAATCAATGAGAAGAATGAATGCTACTTAAGTAGTCAGAATGTAGTTCCTGCATGCAGCCGAGAAGAAGTCTGTTTGAAAGCCGGCATCCTGAAGTAGCTGAATTGTGATAGAAGTGTGCTGTACAATGATTGGTTTTACAACCCTACTTAATTAATCTTTTCGAAACGAAAACGCATTTCGGAATTTTGATTGACATTTCATGAGTTAGCCCACCTACTGTACATATCAGTCGACGGACATAATCGCCCTCGTTTTAAATTCAGACTAATATCGGAAGCTTTTGGGTACTGAATCCAACCAGACTGCCTTCCGCAGTTATGGTTTTCGTGGCATGTAGTGAGCTGATTGCCGATTGACCTGCTTGATCCATAACTGATAGATTTACCCGTCTTCGGAGAACAGTTGGTCACCTCCAGCCGTTATATTCTAAGAACTACCTCTCAAGAAAGCTGCCTTTGCCACAGGGAAACTGTAGACGAAAAAAATCTTGGTTGGATACCAGTGTCGCAACACTCCGTTACTGATGCTAGTATTATTGCAGTTAGTTACCCATACTGTAAGTGTTGGTAGAGTAGCATTGGCAGCCGTGGTGGCGGTGGTAGTAGTAGTACTAATAGTAGGATTATTAGTAGTATTCGCCGTATCAGTGGTGGTAGACGGGGGAAAAAGTTTTCTTCAGTGTTGCGACACTGTATTCCCGCCAGTGGTAGTAGTATTAGTAGTAACAGCGGTAGTAGTGGTAGTAGTAGCAGTAGTAGTGGTGGTGGTAGGAGTAGTATTAGTGGTAGTAGTAGTAGTAGTAGTCCGCCCGTAAGACAGGCTGGTGGAGGAATAGACAATTCTAAGTGTTGCGACACTGTATTCCCGCCAAAATCTTAAGTGAATCCTTTTTGGAAAAGCTAGTTGAATTTGTGCAACCATCGAAAGCCGGTAAGATTTGGTCATGAAGCCCCACCTGATGGACACAATACATTTGGGGTTTGGGCTAGGCGTTAGGGCAACTATTTCCCAACCTTCCATATCGAAGTAATATGTTGACCCCACTTGGAGAATAGGTTACACTCTATGATAGTTCACATCAACTTTATTGTGAGCCCCGGGGGACTGGATCAGCCAACTTTTATTTACATTTCATCGCCAGTTGGTCATACTACGACCTCTAGATTTGAATTCAGATCTTGTCAGCCAGCGAGCTTAGTGTACGACCAGTTAAGCCTCGGGTTAAGTGATTGTCTGTCCTCGTACGACCTCCTGTGAGGGTTCTAGACCGGGGTCCCTAGGTGAGACGGAACGGCCGTACTAAGTTAAGAAAGCGTGCCAAATTGGCAGTGTTAACTTCGAGTAATCTGCTGCCTTTTGAGTGTGGATCTTGCCTATGCCTGGCACAAAGATAACTTTTCAGGTGCATCTCCGCCAATTAGGGGAAGCGAGGGAAGGCAGGGAGGAAGGGACAGCGGTTTAAGTCTGACCTGCTGCATGGCAAGAAGTGAGTTTGCCAGTTCGTCTAGATCCTCGTTAGACGGAGGCTCAGAAGGTTGGTCCTCGGCAGGAGTTGCCGGCGGCACCAACTTGTCCGGACTCATCATCATCGCCTCCTCCTCCGCCGCCGCCGCCGCTTCCTCCAGTTCTGTTGTGGTGGGCTGTGCTGGTTGGCAGGGAGTAGTGTCTTGGCTAATAGCACTGCTGACCACCAGGTCAGCGTGGGTGGAGAGACAGGAAATATCCTCTGGTCGGGTTCCCTCGGTGTTCTCCGATCTCCTGACTGTCCATGGAAAACGGATATCACGTTGCAAGCTAGGCGGCACGCCTGACATGAAGGTTGGTTCCGGATATCTGGAAGCTCATCACACAGTTGAACAAAATACACAAAATTAGTGGTCTGAGACAAACTCAAATGAGACAGAACAGTAGACCTAATAAAAAGAAGTTGAACACACGATCTCTGGGACAGAAGGTGTATTAGTTTGAGCTTTCGGTCTCGTACAGTAGACCATCGTCAGAGACTGTGAGAATGCGACATCAAATGAGCAGTTTCTGTAGTCAAGCTATGAATGGGGGGGGATATGAGTGCAGAGGGTGGTATTCGCGATAAGCTGAGTCCCACGCCGTCTCACGGCGGCGCGACATCGTGTACCCTTAGCTGAAAATTGGGTCTCGCTTCTTGGCCGCGGGAACGGAGCGCGTGATAGAGTTGGTGTCAGACACCCAGGCCACCAACAGCTCTCGCCCTGTCTTACTGCTGGCCCGCGCTACTATCCGCGTGCTCGCGACGTTGAATTCGTCGCCTTCCTCCAGCGTGTGAGTGGCGACCTGAGACAACGGGTCGCCTCTCCGGACCGCCCGTTTATGCTCCGTTATTCGTGAGCTAAGTCGTCGTCCGGTCTGTCCTGCGTAGTGGCGAGGACAGTCCCGATTGTTCTCCCACGTCTAGTCGATCCTTCACTCGCATGATTTTGTTGCGCATGGTCGCAGTCGGACGGTGAGCGATACCCACGTCGAGCTCTCCAGCGATACGTTCCATCGCTTCGGCCACATTATATATAGTAGAGGGTGCCAGAGTGTTGGCGGTTCTCCTTCGGTTGTTCGCGGAGGCAGCGGCTGACGAAGCTGTTCGAGTATCCATTCCTTGCCAGCTGGTTCCAAAGATTTCGAAGTTCTCGTACTCCTCTACCTAGGAAATATCGCGCACTTTTCCTACCCACTGCTCTCTCTGGTGGTGGATTAAAACTCACTCGTGTTCCACAGTTAATTCCTCAGATGCTGCAGCATCAGAGCTAGAAAAAAGTAGTTGAGAGCCCACAGGCAGTCCTTTTGCTGGTCGCCCGTGAGGGAGGCTACATAACCACAGTATCCACTATACCTCGGTAAAAAATGACCGACGTATTTACACCCGCTTTAAAATGAAGAAATATTTAAGAGGAAAGGGTATTGACAATAACAACAGAGACTGGGACGGCCATTTTCGGCTTATTACCTGTCGTCAGCCGGCTATACTCAACGCTTCAAAACGCAACTGTTCCATTTTTTAAAGAATAAGTTGTTTTAGAATTGCTTTATTGCTTACAAAAAAGACAGGTGAAAATATCGACAAATGTAAGGCATAGCTTTAAATATTAAAGAGGAAAGAGTCCTCCTCCAGTTATCTTTTATAAAAATTATTTAAACCAACAAGCAGTGAGAGTATTTACAGTCAGTGACCAATCTCATTAAATGTCAGAAAAACTTCTGAAATACTTCTCCGATTACCCAAGTGAGGTAGTAATCATGAATGTCGTGCAGCATAACCCTAAAATATTTCAAAGATGTCATGATGCCGGCTACTGGCTGCACTTATATTTGGCTGCCTGAAAAAATTGCACTCATCAAAAAGTGACTGCCTAAGTATCATGAGACTTTTCTGTCGATTTTTGACGAACTTATAAATCAAAATGTCCTTGTTTTAGAAAGCATGCGGACAAAATTTCAGAAGGTTATTGCCGACAAAGACCAGGGAGACTGGAGTGGCCATTTCTGGCTTATTAGCCGTCGTCAGCAAGTCATACCCAACCCCGAAGTGTGGAACACCCAAAACTAGAACCCGCGACCTGTTAGTTAGAAATTCATGCCTCTAACCACTGGTCCACGAGCCGACAGGACAACGGGCTCGTGGTAAGCGCCCCCTACCTGTGGACAAAATTTCTTTTCTGCACTCATTTGGCAGTAATCAGATCTGCATATTTCATACAAAAAAGGTATATTTAGGTCTTAAAGAAGTCTGCAATTATGAGACCCTTTTAAGACCGTGTTTTTCCATTAATTAATGCTCCTTCTGAAGGAGACAACGTTTCACACATCCACTACGAAATTTTACGAATCATAAATAGTATAAAGAAGATGAAGACCCGATCTCTGGGACAATGGGTTTATTAGTCTGAGCTTTCGGTCTCGTACAGGAGGCCATCGTCAGAGACTGTGAGAAGGCAACATCAATGAGTGGTTTTTGTAGTCACGCCATGCAGGGGGGGGGGGGAGATGTGAGTGCAGAGGGTGGTATTCGCGATAAGTTGCGTCCCACGCCATCTCACGGTGGCGTGACTGCGTGCACCCTTGGCTGGAAATTGGGTCTCGCCCCTTGGCCGCGGGAACGGTCTTCATCTTCTTTACAACAAGAACCTGGGATTCGCATATTCGCTTCCATCCATAAATAGTATCTTCTTGATGACATAGAGGAATGTTTGATTTTTCTTACATGGAAAGTATGTAACTCGTGGATTCTAAGCCCTGAAAGCAAATGCAACGGTACATCGAACTCGAAATTATTCGAGAATTGAAAAACCTTAAAGCCGAAGTCTGCAATTGTTAGAAAATAAAATCCGAAGAAGACATGCTCTGCTAGCGAGTGCGAGGAAGGAATAATTTGAGCATCTTTTCTGCATGTTAAATCCCAACTTGCAAGAGAGTCGAAAATCAATTTAAAAAATCCATTATACTTATGTAGTCAATTTTACCGAGTGCAGCTTTTGCAAACAGTCGAAAAAAATGCATTTCAACGGTCAGCGTTCTGGCGTGGCTGAAATACCTTGGAACTATGTTGCACGATAATCAATATTACGACCCACCTAAGTAGTCCTCCCTAAACGGAGACGAAGTTCAGCACTTTGGTTAACATTCCAGGGGAGTGGCTAGTGACTGTAAATGAAGTTACGTGGAAGTAAAACTGACGTAAGGCCATCAACGTTAACTTTTCGAATTCAACCGACCTCAAAGGCCATTGAGTGCTGAATTTGAGGCAGTCCGCGCTTCCTTGCTCTCTCCCGATTTGTCATGCTGCCCTCTTATCCGCCCCACGCTCCCTGTCGATTCGCTGCTGGAACCACGCGAGGCTTGTCACTAACCTCGCGAGAGCTCGGAGCCAATCAATGCTGCCCCTTTTCTGATTGGCTGGCGGGCGCTAACTGGGACAGAGAGAAGAGTGCACACATGCGCTGAGGATCAATAACCTCAACGGCGGACACGGATGACGCAACTTGCCTGGAGAGACCGCTCGCGGGGACTGCTTGCTGAGCCCCTTCTACGCACTCATATGCCAATAAAGTGGTCCGACTCAATCCATCTTCCCTGACTTCGGATCGGGGAACCTTTGTCTTGTCGATCGTTGTGGATTTTCTAGTCAGCCTCTAATCGCATAGGACTCACCCAGCTTCCCTCAGTCATCTATGGTCTTTGTGGAGTCGCATCCGGAGGCACGTTTCTGTGTCCAGTGACCAACGCGTCTGAGTCCGAGTCCACCTTATTCGAGACTGTGGTAGAAGTTGGGTCCGAGCGATGATATCCACCGTCTGCACAGTGGGCGCGGAAGCGGTAACTAGCGCGTGAATTAGCATTATAGTGGTAGAAGACTTACATTGTAGTTACCGCAAACTCTCTCCTTCCTCACTTACCCGGGCCCCGCGTCGCGACAGAGTCAAAAAAACCTGAGATGAGATCAGGCGCAGTGGCTGGCGAACTTAAGTAGCCCATCTACGCGTGCCACGCAAGCCTGATTGGCGCACAATGGGCCAGGCCTTAACAGAAAGGGGCGGCTCGACTCCTAACTGGATGGAAGTGTGACAGTGGGTGCTCACCGATCAGGTTACGGAACATGCTCGTTCCGTTGTGTTTTGGGGCTCATACTAGAACCCTCGCAGGCAGTCGCACAGCGACTGGTAGTAGATAGAGATGAGATGGTGCTGACAAAGACAAGGGAGACCGGAATGGCCGTTTCTGGCTTATTAGCCGTCATCAGCCAGTCATACCCAACCCCAAGTTTGGATCACTTGGGATTCGAACTCGGGATCTTTGGTCATGGAGGTAGACGTTCTACCATTGAGCCACGGGCCCGTTGTCCTGTCGGTTGTGATCGGGAATTTCAATTATGACAGATGGGCGCTCACCGATCAGGTTACGGAACATGCTCGTTCCGTTGTGCCTTGGGGCTCACACTAGAACCCTCGCAGGCAGTCGCACAACAACTAGTAGTAGACAGAGATGAGATGGTGCTGACAAAAACAAGGGAGACCGGAATGGCCGTTTCTGGCTTATTAACCGTCATCAGCCAGTAATACCCGACCCCAAGTGTGGATCACTTGGGATTCGAACCCGGGATCTTTGGTCATGGAGTTTGACACTCTACCAGTGAGCCACGGGTCCGTTGTCCTGAAGTGTCATAGAAGTTACATTTAGAGAGAGAAATTGCAGTCTGGCTGTCCGAGTTATCCCGTCAGTTAGCAGTCTCTCAAGTCATAGCGTTTAGCGCACTGTGGTAATTTAAAAGCGTGTCAGGTGGGGGGTGGAGTCCCCACAGTCCACCCTACTCTCTCTTCCCTTTTCCAGGCTCCGATTCACTCTCCTAGCCGGTCAGCCATTCGATGCGGCGATTGAGCGCAGGAGGCGTGCCACCACACCCGCCGGTGTGGCATTTGTTATGGAGTGTGCGGTCCCAATACAGCGTGAGGTACCTTAGTCTGGCCATCATGTTGGTCTGGCGTATCTCCCGTGTGGCCGGTTGTGGAAACACAGTGACAACAACTAGGTCGGAAATGGTAATTTCAGTCCACCCTGTCTTTTTCTGTACTCCTTCTGTCTTTTTGAGTTGTAGCAGCCTTTTCTCTGCCCCCTCGTTCAACTGTATACGCCCCACGGCTGCGCACGCTAACCCTCGATCTGTCTGGCTGCAATCCCGTCCACACCACACTCCTGGTCGATCATTTGTCACTACCCTCGTGTGGGCTCGGAGCCAATCAATGCAACTCCTCTCGCTGACTGGTTTACCACAGGCGGACACAGTCCAGACCAC